AAATATAATAGTTTTAGGAATATGTTATAATACCTAGATCCTATCGCCTTTTTCTTTAGTAGGCTAAATAATAAATGCTAGGTCGGTATACTTCGTAAAGGACTTTAGAGTTAGTAGTATAAAGTAATATATAATTTCTAGACGATTAATAGATGCTTAGAGGCGCTTAATATTAGGCTAGAAAGTACACCCTATTTAAAGCTTCTTAAAACTATCCGGATCGAGTGTAGTAGTATAGGCTATCTATAGATAGGTAAATTCTAACTATCTAAGACGGAGACGAAGTATAGTAAGCTAAGTATACGATACTCGGAATTCTTCGCCCTACTAATAGATAAGATAAGCTTCGTCGACTACTACTATAATAATACGCTTCTAGAATTCTAGATCGAGAAGAATCTCTAGCATACCCTTACTAATAGCCTATTTAGGGCTTAGAAGGATGTAAGTGTATTTAAGGTCTTGGATCTTCTTCTAGACTTTAGGATCCTAATCTATAGTCGACGAATTAAGGAATAAGGGCCGTACTAGTCGCGTACTAGGTGTTATAGTAGTACGACTATAACCCTATTTTACTAACTTAGGATCTAGCTAGGCTATAATCTAATTAATACACTCTAACTTCGCTACTTACTCTTTACTAATCTTATTAAGTAGAATAATTATAAGGGTAATTATTTTAGGTAGCATTATAGAGACTACTTAGAGAGGATGGCTCTTACTAAGTCTAGTCCTTACTATAGGTATATAGTCTATCTACTCGAATAAGATATAGTAAATAGCTTTAACTTAAATAGGCCTTATATCTTAGTAGAAGATTATTCGAAATAGCTTTATAACTAATACCTCCTCTTAACTAATACTATCTAGACCTATAAGTCTAGCTTCTCGCTATTAGACTAGGAGTCTTTACTACTTTTAGAGGGTATTAGCTTAGTCGAGAGAGTAAGAAGCTATAGGTAGTACTAGTTTTCGATAGCTTTTTCTTAATAACGGTATATTTTTAGCTTTCTTTAAACGTATAGGCATCTTTAGCGGGTATATGCGCTCCTAGCTATAGGAGGCTACTAAGTTTTAATAATAATTAGGGTCGTAGTCGTAGGTAGTAGTCGAAAGAGGGTGGATTTCTAGGCCGTATACGTAGTTTCTTCTACTAGCAATTTTAGCACGTAGTTTCTATCTCGTCTACTAAAAGCGTAGGAGAGGGCGTAAAAACCTATATAAGATCTAAAGGACTATTATTTCTAGCGCGTAGTCGTTATGGATTTTATAATTAGGCATAATATGTAGTCTAATTAATGGTCTTATATTTAGAGTAGGTAATCTCTTTATAGGAATGAGGCTAATTCCTCCTAGACCTCCTACTAGGAGCTCTTAGCATGGGACTAGTCCTAAAAGAGTTGCTAAGCTCTAAAAATGGGAGGTCTGGGTGAACCGAGGCAAGTCGCCTCGACGAACTAGAACGGACCTGTCTTGGAAATCGCAATACAGCCTTGCATCGAGCGTTGTAAACTAGTTTGCTTGCTACCTAGGTTACAATGCAGCTATTCCCTCTATAGAAAGAAAGAAACACTACCTTCGTTATTATAATGTATATTTACTTGGCGTCTCGAAATCTTGGCTGCAGAGCTAGCTTTTCTCTGGGTTCTGTCTTTATCTTTCTGTATCCCACATAGCGACATCGACTCTTGTCTTCAGGCTCAGCACGGATCTTCGCTCGTCCCACTTACCAAAACTCAGGACCATGGGCTTCACGCTCATCCGCTTGATGAGATTCAAGCAGCGCTGGGAATTTGTTGTCTTCCACACCGACTATTTTTCCGACGCAGACTCGACCAAATTCCCGGGTATGTACCGGTTATGGCCTCAACGAGTGATCATGATTCAAGGGCTTGAAAAAGCAGCACTCATCAGCTCCTGGGAACAGACGTGGTGGATGGAAAATCGAACGGAATACGAAAATGCGTCGCCTCACACGCCTCGTGAGCATCACAGAACTTGGCTGGCAGGACTGTACCCAAAAGATTGCCTCTTGAACTGGCCAGAACNNAACATGTTCCTTGTGGTGAATGCCGAAGGTTTGAATCGGGTCGAAGATAAGGATGCTGTGTTTCAGCAACTGCCTCTCGAGCAGCACCCTATCGTCAAGGTCTTCGACGCAGAGGCCCCGAGCGAGGATGACGATGATTCAGGATGGATGAAGTTGAGTTTGAGCGGGCTCTAGTATCTTTACGAAAAGGTTCTTAGATGTCGCGGTATGCGGAAACTATGCGTCAAGCATACGGATCGGTTTCTCAGAGACGCGCTTNCCAACAAGACCTATCTCGTGGAGGCAGATGATTGCGATGCCTTGGATTTCAACGACCTGGATCCCGACGACCTGGATCTCGACGACCTGGATCTCGACGACCTGGCTTCCGACGGCGCACATAGGTAGAAGTATTGGCCCAAGATAGAAGTGAGGGATCGAACAATAAACATTTCGACTGATCTAGTCCTGGGCCACCAGCGATGTGGTTAGGCCTAGATATTTGCAGGATCGACGGCAACGTCCATCTTCACGTTGAGCGTCGATGATGCCTCCTCCAAGGATTTCATCTGAGCAGGCTCGACAAGCCGGTGGAAGTTGAAACACGATAATTCAGTTTCTCAATGAGCGCGACGGAAGTACTTCCCACATTGTGCTTCACCATCGTGCAGACAAAACGACCAAATCAGCATCAGCAAGTCAATAAAGCCACCAGTATTCGCAAAGGGAAACACACTGACGAGAGCATGATGACTTTGCAGAATGAGATCTGATGGAGCAAGGTTCACCAGTCAGATCCAATTGAGTCAACCTAACGAAAGAAAACATTTGAGCTGAAGTACCCCGCACCGCACCTGTTGCCGCAATTTTTTTTTATTTTGGAACGACGGCGAGTCAAGGGAGTTCGCTGTGGTATCTGTACTCCTGCGCAGGTCTTAATCACAGATCCTTGCTGGCAGAATATCCTCTCCGCACCGTCAGCCTTGGAAACGAAATAGTGAGGCCAGTGTTTTTATCTCGCGTCTTTGCTTAGTGCATTCGGTCGAGCGCAACGTCTTGGAAGTGATACTTCGCGACACACTCTCTTGCTGTTTCGTTGCAGACTTCTCTGAATCTGATGATTGATCGTCGATGTTACACTAGACATCTTGCTCCACGGAGCTCAAGCGACCGCCTGGCAGGAGCCTCGGGTTATGCCTATTGGGGCTGTTGTGCTACTGAGAATCGCTGCGCGGGAGGTGTTCAAATAACCCGTTGTCATAGACTCGGAAGACTATGAGAAGAACACATATACTAAGTCAAGATTAGGAATTTTTGAATCTGCAAAGTTGTAAAGTTGAGAATGCGTAGGTAGTGGCGAAGTCGTCATACTAGCCGATGGTCTTAAACCTTTTAGGGTTCTGCTGCGAGACTCTTTCGTCGCTCATCTGCTCATTTATTCTCGTCTAATCTGTCATCATTTTGGAAAGGACGCCGAGGAAGTTTCAAACGCGCATTCATGTGCCGTGGCCTAGCGGCCTTGACTGGAAGTCCATGAAGATTATCGTACACTGAATACAAATTGTTCTCTTATGTCTTGAACGTTCATCCCTCTTGAGTGCCGGAATTCCACGGAAACATCGATGATGCGAAGTCCGGGCGTCGTTACGGGCATGTGATTGAAACGGATCTAATTCCGCGGACCTATTAGCGGAGCGTTTGTTGGTTTCCATTGGAAGCGTGCAAGGCATACAGAACTGCGCTGATGATGCTCATCACAAGTCAACACTGGTCATTTTGCTGTGATCAAAGGAATCTCGAGCATTTAAAGCAAGAGGCTCATCTCTGACTTACATCATGATCCATCTGCGCAACACTTCGTCCTTGCAACATCAAGAATCTCAGCATTCTCACCTAAACTTCATAGCAAATCTGACATGCTCTTGAATGTATAGCGAAGCTTGAAGAACCACGACTGGAAAAGACTACGCCCAGACCCCATGATCCAGACATGCGGTTACCGTCACTAGCATTGACATGCCTCTTTGTATCTCTGAGTCTGTTGGTGATTGGACGTCGACACATCCAAGAACTCGTGGAGATTGGGCGAACATATCTCACGTATCACACTCTTGTGCATGACCACGCCGATATTTTACATCGCTACTCCTCAACTAACGAGTCAAGCTCTGATGGTTCTTTGCTGGGAGTTCAAAAGCAAGAACAAGCTCCAAAGATTATTCACCAGATCTTTCTTACGGATGGACGAAATCAGAACACTAGCAAGTACCTATCTGCAATTGATAGCTGCAAATACCTGCACAGCGATTGGAAGTACAACTTGTGGACCGATTTGAATGCGACAGCGTTCATGCGAGAGCATTACCCAGACCTTGCACCTCACTACGAAGGCTACCGACAGTCAAGTCAACGAGCTTCAACTAAGTTCTGAGTCCTCATCGATCAGGATTTAATGAATTCGCGCACGCAAACGTCTGACATGCATCTGGTCAAATCGGTGCCTTCCGGGTGGCTCCCACGATAAACAAATATATGGCGCTTTCTTGCGTTGTCCGATCTTTTCCACAGCAGCTCAAAACATGCTCAACTTGTGACTGGTTTCCTACCCTTGAAACAAACATACATGTCTATTCTTACCTCTTTTTTCTTTTCCCTGAAGCAATAACTTAGTAGACTGTCATAAGAAACTCTGCTTTGTGACGTTTCTTCTTGGTCTAAGCCTATTTTATATTCAATTATGGACATTCGACTGTTGACGATCACAGATAATCTGATCATTAGCCTCTGGGATTATCGTGGCTCAAGCGCACGAGTGAACAAGACAAAACACTAATTACGATTGTCTGAGCTAAAGCGCGGGACACCCAAAACTTTCGAAGATACCTGCTAGCTTGGTTTTCGCGAAAGACGACGCAATAGGATTTTGCGTAAGAATGTTTGACAAGGATTGCGGAACAGCNTACAAATACATTTAGCAGTCTGTACCTGGGCAATTCTTCCATTGCAGAATCTTAAAGGCAAGAGAGCAAAGGAAGAATAGAGACACAGTGATGATTGACTTACCATCGACAAGTACTTGTTGGAATAGACATGCGATGCCTTCAGCACTCGAATCTTTCAGTACGCCATTCTCGATTCCTGCCGCCTCGAAGTCCAATCCGACGAAACTGTAAGTCTTGCCTACGTTGCCTCCGAATGCAGGATAGCCCGCCTCAGCATATAGCAGCGATGTCTCTGCAAGGATTTCGGCGAAGGAAAGCGCGGTCGGTCGGTTGTACCAATTAGGCGGGATGCTTTCGTGGCCGGGATTTGCAGTCCAGGTGGAGGAATCCGAGGAGGAGCGGTCAACAGCCCAGAAATACTGGATTGTGTCTACGGAGGGCGTGCCGGCATTGCCGTAGGAAGCGAAGGACTCTTGAGGAAGAGTCGCGGTACCAAAAGCAAAGAGGCCGAGAGGACCAAAGAAGAAATTGCTAGATTGTGTTAGTGCAAGTTCGCTTGTGACGCGAGGTTGGCAGTATCTTTTGAGAGACAGGTCAGGATAGGGAATACATACGGGNTTTGTCTCTTTGGAATAGTTGTAACGAGAGCCCATATAAGGACCCATGCATCCTAGTGTGAAGTCACCATTGCAGAAGTCGTTCATGTACCCGAAGATTGTGGCATTGACGCTGTACGAATCACCATTGGGCGAGGTGTAGAAGTCGTTGCGCGTCATGGACGAATCAGTCTCGAACTTGTTGTGGGCATTAAGGCCCGTGTTTGGAACTTGCATGCCACCGTCGCAGCCGATGGAGAGCTGGCTGGTCAATGGGTCGCCGTCCATGACGATGCCGAAGGTGGCAACGAAGGTTGCGAGATCCCAGCCCNNTGAGAATGTGTCAGTCGCGGGTCATTTCCAGCATTAGTTGCAGAGCGATCGTCGAACCCAGTTGAAGACGTTCTGAGCAAAGTCGACTAGTTCGACAAAGTTGGTCAAACCATCATGGCTAATNCTATTCATTGAGTCAGCTGTGTGTGCTAGACCTGCTCTATAGTAGCAGAGCATACGAAGTTGTGATCTGTGTAATAAGTAAGCTTTCGGTAGCAGATCGATGTCGATGAACATACTAGCTGCCATATTCAAGCCGGGACAAGGTCCACGAATATCCCTCGACGAAGGAGGGGAGTATGCATGGGCAGTGTCATTGACTGCAGGCACCAGAAGACCACCCTTCCCGGTGCCTGGTAAGCCGTCTCTTGCCCCGGTGTACTTGCTAGGGTAGTACTCGCTATACGGTGCGGCGCCTTGTGGAGACAGATGAAGTGGGCATGTTGCAGCTCTCTGCTCCAGTGTCGTAACTGGTCCACCATGTGAGAGCTTCTCCATCCAGGCATAGCCATTGACGTCGCCGACCAAAGCTAAAAGGAGAGGGAGTAGGGCGTACATCGTTGTGATTTACAATAATATTGAAGAATCGAGGCAGGTGGTAATAGACAGGACAATAGGAATAGAGAGCGAAACAGACCCAGATATCTGATTGACCCCAGATGATCTTCGCACGGGTGGATGGTACATGACGAGATCCAGAAATGCTTAGATCGATGCTGTGCCGAGGTGAGCCCAGAATGTCAAAGATCGTCTGAACCGGTCTTGAAGCCGTAGTGTGGGAACGAGAAGGAGATTGCCAACAAATCTGAACACTGAATGGGTGGTGCAGCTCTGAACATTACAATGTCAAGGGACGGGTTCGAGCACGAAGTTGAATCAAGGACGAGTGACAAATGAGGCTGGCAAGCAGTCGTTTGCAGTCAAGACATTTACCGAAAACTGCAGGTGTATGAAAGTCAGGCAGTGGATTTGCCACCTCAACGGCTCGTGCGGGGGAAAGTCAAGCATATCTTAAGACACTGCCTGCTGCAGCCACGATATTCACCTGCTTAGATAGTATGCAGCGGTGATCCTCAATCATGAGAGATCCAAGACATGTCCAAGGGAAGGCGAAGCTGCGAGTCACAGGTACAGACAGAGGGGTCGACTCTAGCGATTTGCCTGATCAAGCGCTGCCCAGAGTGCATTCGCTTTTGACAAGTCGGTCGCACATCGTCGCATGTATGCGCAAGTGTCAATGAGTGGTAAACCGATCATGCCGACCTACACGCATTGTTGCTCTGTACATTTGGTATCTCGCAAAGCTGTCTCATACCTATGTCGCGATGACTCTCGGGTAGGGTTCAGTTTCGGTGGATGAGCCTCTCATCAGCGACAACCCCGATATCGTGCTCGACTTGTCCGTTAAGCGAAGGGAGCTCTTCTTCGAGCATGACGCGAACCCCAAGTTTGACGTCGTCGGTTCTTGGGGCAGGTCTGAGTTCCAGAAAGATGGTGGGATCCACTGGCATGGCGTCCTTTGGTGTTGCAATGTTCCTGATCCTCGAAGCGTTAGCTCTGATGCCGGGAGCACCAGGGTTGCAGCTTTTTGGAATATTCGCGTCGTTGCAAACTGGCCTGTACCCAACACAGCAATCCCTCATCCGCAAGTCGCCAACTTGAATGACTTGATCAGCCGACTCCAGCAACATGATTGCAGCAGTTCAAGCTATTGTGTAGCTGACAGGTGCAAATATGGATACCCAGTGGAATTTAGTGACCAAGCAAAAGTCATCCAGGTAGACGACGGCTATCGTGTTCATCCTGCTCGCCACAACGACCGTGTCGTTGCCCACAACCGAGTTTTGCTACTCATCTGGCTTGTAAACATTGATATCCAAATCTTGACAGGTCTCTGGTGGATTCTCAGATGCGTTTGCAAATTGCTCCTCGAGCATGAAGATATCTGAGGAAAGTTTGCCTATCATATCAAGGCATCTGAACCGAACACAAATCCTCTCATCGTCAAGGTCAGATCAATCTTAGAACAACTCGTTGGCTCAAAAGCTTTCACCAAACAAGAGATCTGCCATCTGTTATTAAATCTTCTACTCATTACATCCACGGTTGAAGTGATTCGTATTGACGACCGCGCTGACCTCAACGCTCATGCTCGGTCCTCTGTCTTGATCAAGTACCTCGCCAGACACAAGTCAACCCTTGCTAGCGAAACTCTTCTTGATTCCATCCTCAAGTGAAACCTTCGCCATGTGGATCGAACGATTGCGAAAGCTAGAGTTCCTCGTTATGTGCCTCTACCCACCAGCTCTGAAGCTGTCATGTGGAAAGTTATGCTTCAGCACGCATTCTTCAACAACCCGCGAGATTACCTTGAAGGGAACAGGTTTGCAAACTGGCAGGCAGCACAGCAAGCATGTCTTGTACACGGCCATACTAGACCTGACTACATGCCAGAAGCTGTAGAGCGCATTCCGGTTGATCCACAGAGCCATAATGACTGGCGCAACTTGGCAAGGCAGCTTAGACAGAGCGAGGACACGTTCAAGCTTGGACGCCGCCCTATGGACGTCACGGACTACTCTGCCATGGTTGGTGACATCGCTGGTCTGGACCACACCTTCTGGACTCGATCAGTGACAAATTCCCGGTCCAACACTGCTGCAGCATCATCTCTGAGGGCAGATGCAGACAGATTGCTCGACCCGGATCAGTCACAGCTATACCACGACATCTTGGACAGCATGGACAAGGTCTTCGCTGGCCAAGACTTTCAATTCTTATCTCAGGTTGACGGCGGTGCTGGATCCGGTAAGGCTCTTGTCTGCCAGCTAATCATTGATCATGTCAATCAGCTCGCGCGAACCAAGGACCAGCCAGCGCCCGCCGTCAAGGTTATGGCACCTACAGGCGTTGCTGCCAAGAACATAAGTGGTGAAACACTACACTCTACCTTGCGAATCTTCAATGCCACTTCCTGCCACTCATGGACCCCGCTCTAGATGCACTACGCGTGGAGTGGAAGGAAATTCGACTGGTCGTGATAGACGAAAAGAGCATGATCTTGCGCAACATCCTGTGGCAGATCGATCAGCGCCTCCGACACATACTCAATCGTCATGATCGTCCATTTGGAGGCATGAGCGTGATTCTCGTTGGTGATTTTGTTCAGATTCAACCAGTAGCTGGCGCTCCTTTGTATCAGGACGACCGTCAGCCGCATTACGAAGTTGCCTACCGATCATTCAGCAAGTCGTACTTCCTTCGCTCGTCGCATTGCCACGAGAATGATGGCAGATCCCTGTCAGCTCTGGACGCGATTCGTGAAGACAAGGTCACTCACATGGTGTGGCAGCATCTGTCTCAACGATGCATGACTCATCCCGACATGACAGCAACCGAAATTGCTTCGTTTGACAACGCCTTGCGACTCTACTTCAATCGTGAGCCCGTAAGAAGATACAACGAGCGCAGACTTGTGGATGCGATTTCTCCTGTCCTGGCACTTTCTGCACACAACCACCCACCATCAGCTGCAGTGGCCACTGTACAGGCCGAAGATGCCCACAACCTTCCACTCGAGCTTCTTGTGTCAATTGGCTGCCGTGTCATTGTCACAGAAAACATCTGCAAGCAAGCTGGTGTTGTTAACGGTAATACTGGTATTGTTACGGGCTATCGATGGCACGATGGACAGGACTCAACCAAGGACACTCCTTTCGCAATCATGGTCAAGCTAAATGATCACCGAGGCAATGCTTACCATAATCTTGACGTGAACGGTATCCCCAATGATGAAGTGCCTATCTTTGCTGTTCGCCGCCCATTCACTCACAATGGCAGACAGTATTACAGAACCCAGTTTCCCCTCTTTCTTGCATGGGCAGCTACAGTCCACAAGGCACAGGGATTGACGTTGGATAAAGTGGTCCTTGACATAGCCGACAGTGAATTTACCCCCGGACTCATCTACACTGCCATCTCTCGCGTCAGAAAGCTGGCAGACCTGCTTTTCGAACAGCCGTTTGGACTGAACAGATTGACAAAGGGGTTGAACAAGCACTCGTTGCAGGAACGCCAGGATGATGAAGCTCGCCGAGGTGGGTCGGGTATTGTACAGATATTGAGAAGATCGATAAGGTAGACTGCATTCATCAGAACATGACTTCAGATGATGAAGATATCCCTGAGTGTTGAACGCAGTGAATCGAAAGTGTGGTCAATGGGGAACCAGAGGTAGTCAGTAAGGATAAAATTCCAGCTCTTTCTGTTGTGTCAAACCTTGTCGTGAGGTGCGTCGAGAGAGTCAGAACGGCTGCCACCATGTGAGATGTCGTTGGTGCTTGCATAATTTCGATGTACCCTCGGAGACGAAGAAATGCTGTACAGCATAGCATATCCCACTCCTTGGCTAAAAGCATGATTGAAACATGCACCACCTATCTCGTGGTCGGTCAAGTTGCAGCAAGGCAAGTCGAGCACACGAGTTGGCTTGATATGCACACCCGCCATCTGGAGAAAGGAGGCACAAGCTGAGAACATCGAGATACAATCTCGCGAGGCTTGCATGAGTTTATGTTGCGCACCAGTTGATCTGAACTCTCACTCGCTCCCAGAAGATCCATCTAAAGATAGGGGATCGATTTACAGTGTGGCTCAGGTTGCAACACTTTTCCCAATCTATTAGGGGACACTGAGCTGATCATACCATGCAAGACTTACTTTCAGGCTTTCTCATACTGCATGACCATTGCAACCATGACGCTCCAAACGGCGCAGAGCGAGCTCGAAAAGCTGGAGGTTCTCACGAAGCAGAGCCGGTTCGTGAACAGTCTCTTGATCCCAGATATGCAGGTCCTCGCTCACAACGCCCGCACAGAGACAACAACCAAGCCCACCGACAGATGACCGATGAGGAGAGACTCACCCTCCTGACTGGAGATCTCGAATCCACATTAACTGCGGCAACACAACAAGAGGAACGATACAATAAAGAATTGCAGCGTACTGCCAAGAACCACGACACGCTTCTCAAGCAATGCGACCACATCCGGGAACATATCGAAAAGATGAAAGCCGAATCTGGAGACCCTCAATCTATTCGTACGGCCCAGAAGACACTTGACGAACTGCAAGACGAGTACACCGACTTGTTCGGCATTCCGGAGGGCGGTCTTGCCAGCGCTGCGTCTCCCCCTTTCATCCCTGCCATACTAGACCTCGTGAAGAACATCTTCCCCAACTTCGACCGCGACGAGTACGAGATGAGCGACATTCAAGTGACACTTCAGAGCGCACACGATGCCGTTGAGCGGACTAGTGAGAGTCTGCAGCAGAAAGAGTCGGAGCTTGTTAGGGTCAAGGCGCAGGGGAGGGAGCAGGTCCAACAGAATACCAAGCTCAGCGAGCAAGCTGAGCGGCAGCACAGTACTAAGACTGCAAGAATCGAAAAGGAAGTTGAGCGCCTCAAAAGGAGGAAATCCAGACTGCTGCGACCATCAAGCAGCTGGAGGGTGACTCTCGCACCCTTCAAGACCTGAGGCGCAACCATGAAGCTCTTCAGAAACGAGCCAATGAGTCAGAGCGTCTGAAGAGAGAGGCCCAGTCTGCCCTTGCTGCGGCTCAAAGCGCGTCGACTATGCAAGAGAGAGACATCGCAAACAACAACACCAGGCTCTTCGAGATGCAGGGCCTCCTGAAGGAAGCGACTTCTGAAAAGGATCTTTTAGAACAGGAAAATCAGGATCTCCAGCAGCGATTGACCGAGACAGAGCAGGAGGCTGAACAGACAAAGCGAAACGCCGAGGCAGAGGTCCAATCTCAATCCTCTAGACTTGCGAAAGAGAAACAGGATGCAGTTGACGCAAGACAAAGAGTCGAAGCACAACTCCGCAGCGAGAAGGAAGCATAAGGCGACGCTCTCAAGGCTATTCTCAACGCCTCGATCACCGGGGAAGCAATCCCTACCAACATCATCCTCTCCGTACTTGTTGATGACATTCAACTGTTCAAATCGCGCCTTGTCGTTACTGCGGGAGTCACGCGAAACCGCCTCGTGCCCGGTGGCATCATCGACCTCGCAATCCCTGAGAAGGACTTTACCGATGCTGAGTTATTGAGTGTACTCAGAGCACAAAATGGTGTTCGAGCCAACGGCCTGGAGTTCTTGCTTTGGATGGACCAGAACCTCATCGAGCGCCTGTCAGAGAGAGCCTCCATCACTTCCGAGGTCTACCTTGCCTATGCCCTTCTCTTCAGGGTGCTCGATGACTCAACATCAGGATGGTTAGCAAGATGTATGGCAGTCTCTATGTTGGCTGATTTGGCGAAGCTGTTCCACTTCTCCGACGACGCTGCTTGGTCTGGTGCTGTCTCGACTATCATCTCCACACATCCGAGACTAGAGTCACTCAGAAACGCTTGCCTACTTTACCTTGCTTCCACCACTGCAGACCCCCAAGGTATTGAGACTCTGCACTCGCTCACGGGTACGTTCGATCCTGCAGTTTCGCTGGTGGAGACGGCAGCGCTTATCGCCCCGAATTCTTGTCTCAAGATTAGCCAAGACAACAAAGACATCATAGTCTTCAGATCAGGCGGCGAAGACCAGGAGCTCATCTTTGTGCGCAGATCCAACGCAGCCTGGATGTGTTCTACATTGCTGTACCTCATGATCACAAACCCTGTCACGAACAAGTTTGTGCTGCAATTCGGAAGCAAGCCATTCCACCAATTCTCCTGGAGCAATGATGAGCAAGGCCGAGTTGCCCATGATTTTGTGAGTCTCCTTCACCAGAGCGCTCTCACCGCCGCGTTGGCCACCAGAATTCGCGACCAAGGCCGGCAGCAGCTAGACATTGCGAGAAGGCAAACCGAGCAGATGGCAACAGGCTTGGAGGACTTGTAGATTGTCATTTGTCGACAAGCCCGGTCCTTCTTCTTTGTGGAAGGTGGTCAGGGGTGATATTGTGGTCCCTAGTCCGGGGTTTGGTATGGGTGTATGTCTTGTCAGTGAGATAGCTTTAGAAGAAGGAAACCTGAACAGGACTGCATCTCTTTGATGACGCTGCGATGGTATTTCGCATACGACAAAGCAGGTGGGAAATCCAAGGAATGAGAGCTACGCGAGATTTTGACTTCGGCTGCAAATCTCAGCTTGTGAGGTTACCCAATTGCGGTAATCAGGCAACTTGGCAGCACGATAGCGTGCTCAACGTCTTAAGTTGGTTTTGTGTCGTCCTTTCGCTGACGCCATGAAGTTTGTGATCGTGTTTCTCGGTCGTGTCATGCAGGTGCGCCGAGTCCTTGAAAGAATTTGAGTGGCACTTCGCGCTTCCCGCAGCCAATAGTCTCCGACGCACCAGATCTTGTTCAAGACGAGATCCGGCATGGCTGCAATAAGAACAAGCATACGAAGGCTCGAATACTCGTCTTGAAGCAAGCAAGATCACAACGATGACTCGAACTCAATGTTTCGGAGGTCAACTTCGCTCGTCGAGAGTGCGAAGGTGAATCGGCGTCATGTCCGCCGAGAGATGATTAGTCAGCCGCATCCCTCTCTCATTCTTGGCGGCTGCGGTTGCCATTGTGGCCTACGGCTCAACCAAGCCAACAGGCACAGTCTCATCTCAATGGTCAATTGCTCTGATGTCGACATACCAAAACGACATGCGCGACTTCAATCACCTACCAATAGGTACACGGAGTACAACGGCGCCCACTTGTCGCGATCCCCGAATGGTTTCGAGAGCAACAGCCATTTTAATCCCTACTAGTCTCGCTTGCGACCGATCATTCGCCTGACCAGTGCGTTTGACAGCATGTTGATCCCGAGAGGCCGAGAATCATCATTGATGAGATCTACCAATCGCGCGCGGGGTCTGCGGCACTGAAACGACAAGCTTGGACAGATTACATAGCAAGTGCTGCAATATACTCGCGGTCGAAGCTTCAATCACCTTGAGACCCACTCCAAATGAATCTAACCTGGATGGTGACACGACATACAATCTAACAAGCGAAAGGCACATTCGATAGCGGAGCCGGAGCAGGAATGACCCTTCCTTACTGACTGGGTGCAAGACCGAACGCGTATCTTATTAGAGCTCGAAGTCGCCGCACGAAGTAATGGCGCCACTGCCTTCCATCACTTCTCTTTCTCCTTCGAGCTGCGGTCCCAAAACCGCAAGATGATCATCGTTTCGCCAGTTTGCACGGTTCCCAGACCTGCCAGCAACGTAGGGCCCGAATTGCACGACAGTCTCGACCACAACCACCCGCCAGCGCATACCCTGGAATTGTCGCAACTCGAGCAGTCAAATCTGCGTGGCTGGTTCCGCGCACTATTGTTCTTCAAGCAGCCTGCTGGGGTTGATCCTTCGAAGGCTGCAAACCTCTTCAGGGATGGTCTGGTGTCAACCGTTCGGGCTATCCCTTCCGTCGCATGTGAGATTGTGCCTTTCGACGATGGGAGGAAGCCTACTGGCAAGATCGCTCTCAAGTGCAATGGTCTCCCGACACTGGTAGTAAAAGACCTTCGTGGATCTGGTCTGGTTTACGAAGAGTTGCAGAAGCAGAATTTTCCTCAGTCGAGACTCGAACCCACCGACTTCTGTACCCGTGAGGTCTTTCCGGAGCCGGACGAACAGCAACCTGTTTTTGTCCCGCAGCTAAACATTATCGACGGAGGTCTCGTCTTGACTCTCCATAGTCATCACTCGGTCTTCAATGCTCAGGGCATTAATGAGGTGCTGCGAGTATGGGCTCAAAACTGTCATCATTTGTAGAGTAGANGTAACAGTATTGCGAAGTGCGATTCACTGTCCATCGAGAAGTTTGGAGCGGCTCATAACTCATCTCGCGAGCCCACCGCCGATATGGGTCGCCCAGAGCATCACCCTGAGCTTATCGTCGCTCCTGAACCCATCACCTTTGGGGAAACGGCAATGAGATGCACGCATAGATCTCGGGTCTACCGAGTGTCTCCCGAAGCTTTGGCCCAGCTGAGGGATGACTGTAACGAAGCCAGAATCCGGACGTCGACCAACGATAGGATTACTGCACTCATTTGGCGCTCAGTGATTCGAGCGCAGGTTGACTTCGACCAGCTTCCGAACGAGAACACGTTGTCGCATGATATCGTCAATGTCGATCTCAGACTTCGCTCGGAACCACCTCTAGCGAAGGACTACCCCGGCTGTCCTATGAATTACGCCCGTGCAGCGATGAATCTGGAAGACGTCTTCGACTCGAGCATTACCCCTCTTGCCTTTGGTGTCAGGGAGGCGGTGAATAAGAGAACGCATGAGTACGTAAGATCGCTTGTCACCCTTCTTGCCAATGCTCCCAGCTATCATAACGTTGTGTCGGATTCATTCCGAAATCTGATGACTACCCACTGCTTGACGAGCACATGGTACAAACTCGATATGTACGACCTGGACTTTGGCCCTGCGATTGGTAAGATCGAATGTGTTAGGTTTCCCACAGGTGGTCTGTTCAATGGGCTCAGTATGATTTATTCGCAGCTCACCAGCGGGAATGGAGTGGGTATGGAAATCGCCATCGGTCTGGATCAGTGCTGCTTTGAGAAACTGGAGAAAGACCCGATCTGGTGCAGATATACTAAATCGACAGATCCCGGGTATGACTGTATCTAGGTGACAGATATAGGTCTGATGTATATTCCCTCGCGTGGAGGTTGGTTTGGCAAGTCTTGTTGATAAGCACACGAATGTACGTGCCACATCCTTGATCAGCGCTGGATTGCAAGATTCTGCGTATGAACCATGTGTTTGTGAAAGTGGCGCCACGGCACATAAAGTGCTACTCAGAAAGACCCACTCACTGTGGATTTCATCTTCCGACAAATTTCGGTGTTCCCCACGAACTGCAATATACACGAGAACGGTAACCGCGATCCTGGGTACGATAGTCTATAACACAGCCATACCTGCATTTCGTGCGCCGCCATCTTTCCACATATCATCCGCAATAAGGTACACAGTCCCGCTTGTTGGCCCTGGAACAACGACCCACTCTCACCTGTTCACCTCTAGACCTATCGTTCATCATGGCCCGAAGGAGTGAGACATGTGCGGCAAGAGATGTTGCGTTTCTCTGTATTCTCATCCTCTAATCTCAAGCCGTGTGCGACGATGATCATGTTGCATCCTGCCAAAAGTCACATGTACATAATGCTGCCAAAGTCCTCGAAGCAAGCCTCGAATCGACTGCAGTGCAAGTCAAGGTCTACAGATCTACGATGGCCCGATCAGTGACAGAGCTCTAAAAACCTAAAACCCTTGCCAATGACGGTCGCCTGCCGACCCTTGCGCCACTTCTGAGACCAATATACCGGTGTATCTAATGGAACATGTCTGGATCACCTATCGATGTGGATCATCACAGGTATTCCAGCGCGGCTCTCGATCTGGTAATTTTGCTTCTGCCAATTCCAAGGATCTGGTCGTTACAGATGCCACGAGCAAAGCGGCTGGGTGTGATGTGTGTCCTGGCTTAGGGTACGCTGTGAGTGACCGCTGTTATCCTGAGTATCATGGCGGTCGAGATACTAATCTTACGCCCAAAGTGTAGTGATCGCTGCAATCATCCGATTAGTGTACATGTCCCGTATGATACATGCTATCGACATCACATGGGCTCTAGGACCTGCTCAAATCTGAATCTTACTCGAGCCATCGCTAGGAATCGTCTCTTCATGCTTGATTGTGACATTCCGTCCCATAGTGAGTGGTGTTCGTACCGTTCTGGGAGTCAAGCACGATGGCAAAGTCGACAGATTGTCCACTCACGATGGAAACAACGTCAGACACACCGCTTCTCGCAAGATTCCACGAGTTCGGCTGACGGATATTGGGGAAGATGAGGAAGAATTGAGACCTTATCCTGGAAAGGGAGAATATAGAGCGATCATCACGACAAAGACACTACAGCAGGGTACGCAGGAACCATCACAGAGAACTCATGGCAACCATCACAACAGCGTGTGCTGCATAACAGAATTCAAGTTGAGACAAGCTTTGTTATCAACGAAGCATCTGCTCGGAAGATGCCAATAGCACACCCATGACAGATAAGCTACTTTACTACATGTTGAATTTCGCAGCAAGCCCGTTACCATCCCAAATTGTAGTTACTGTCAAAGAGCAGATGTGATGGTGACTGTTGGATGAGAAGGATGTTGAGTGCCATAGTAAGAACTCCAACATTCCGAGAAGAGACTGCACTCCAATATTGAGCTGCGCCTCTCTCAGACTAGACGTGGAGGACTTGGACAGCGACGGTTTGATGTGTTATAATCATCCTTCTGCTAGATAATCGCTCTCAAGAGGTCTGAAAGTTTAATCGACAATTGGTACGAGAAGAAACACTCAGAACTCATCGTTGGCAGGATGAATGTCTCAGGGAATTCAATGATTCGGCAGGGAAAGCCGTCCGCCTAGTGGTAAATTGCAAACACCACAAGTCATCTGGAATGATGTAGTCTGTAATTCGGATGACTCGGGGTTTGGAACCCTGCATTGTATGCCAATCCAGTGGCATACAACTTCAAGAGCGATCGGGCATTAGGCGAGCACCTAGCAGATCTTCAGGGATGTGGCTCTAAGTATCGATGCGGTATCTCTTGGGCTCAGTGTAATAACGGCAAATGGGTTGAACCGCAGTACTTGCCAGATGTGCTGTGTCGAACACTCAGACACCACCAAGATCAAGCGAGAGATGCGCGGTTTCGAGTCCAGTGTGATGTCGAAGAAACAGGAGATGACCAGGACAGTGGTCAAGGAGAGTTTCGGGGCGGCTGTTCTGAACTGACGGCTTGGACAGTACATAGCCAGCCCTAGACGGAGCTGATATCCTCACCATTGACAAAGCCGATCAATCATTTGGGCAGGGTGAGTGTGACAGCGACGCCGTGGGCGCTTGGCGATGTTGAGTTGCTAACTTGTCTTAAGCGGGTACAGTTCGATGAAGCTGCAAGCACCTTTACATAGCATGGCGCTAATGTTGTGCATGGACAATACCGAGTTTATAGGTATGCTTGATACTCGCTGCGCTCGCAGTCAACGCATTCCTGGCCGATCTGACTCAGAGTTAGTGGCGTTTGACGAGCGTCGCCTCACCCTCGTCATTCTGGTGACGCACCGCAAGCGCTGCAGTCACTTTCTGCCTCTTGACAGTCGGGTATTTGGTTCCTCCACCACACCCATCGACAGGCCTCCATCCGTCAAACGCACACCACACTCCCCGCTCACTGCGCGCGCCAGTAAGCTTCGTAACTGAATCGCAATCATGGCCGACGGACAAGGACTTGACGACATCGATGCTGGTAAGTATATACATTTTGCAGATTTTTTGTACGTTGTTGACAAGTTCCTAGCTGACATCGAGTCCAACTACGATGAGACCACCGACTCTTTCGATGCTATGAACCTTAAGACCGACCTCTTGCGTGGAATCTACGCGTATGGTTTCGAGCGTCCGTCTGCTTTCCAGCAGCATGCTATAATGCCAGCCATCAAGGGTGAGTACAAGTCGCAATATTATGCCAGACTCAAGCTCACACTGTGGAAAGGCAAGGACATTGTTGCGCAGGCGCGGTCTGGTTCCGGGACGACTGCTGCCATCTCTATCTCCGTCCTTCAAAAGATCGACCCCGATGTTAAGGCATGCCAGGTCTTAATCCTTGCCCCAACCCGTGAGCGTGCACATCAGATTCAGAAGGTCGTTACTACTATCGGTGGCTTTACAGATATTGAATGCTACGCTTGCATTGGTGGTACTCGCATAGGGGATGATACAAAAGCTCTTCGGGATGGGCGACAGTCAGTAGTCGTTGGTACTCCTGGCCGTGTCCATGACATGATTCACCGCCGTGCTCTCTGTACCGACAACACAAAGATGATAGTGCTCGACGAGGCCGATACCATATTATCCCGCGGTTTTGCTGAGCAAGTACACGACATCTTCGCGACACTTTGTCACACCACGACCACCCAGGTCGTTCTCTTCTCCGCTACCATGCCTCAGGACGTGCTAAAGGTCATCACTGAGTTCACGCGTAATCCAGTTCGCATCACCATTGAGAAGTACGAGACTTGCCTTAAAGGTATCAAACAGTTCTACGTTACCATCGAAAACGAACAAGAAGACTGGAAGGTCGACAGCATCTCCGATCTTCATAAGACCTTCACCAACAGACAGGCGGTGATTTTCTGCAACACTCGTAGGAAGGTCGAATGGCTTACCGATAAGCTTACTGCCCGCGACTTTGCTGTCTCGGCTATACACCGTGACATGGACGCGCCCCAGCGTGATAATAGTATAAGGCTTTTCTTTTCTGGCTCTCACGTCCTAGTCGCTACCAACATGCTCGCCAATACGATCGACGTCCAGCAGGTCCCTCTTGTCATTAACTATGATCTCCCAGCCAACCCAGAGGNNGACTACATTCGCCGTGTCGGACGTGGCGGTGGCGGTCGACTCGGACGTAAGGGTGTCGCCATCAACTTCGTGGCCGCTAACGAACTACGCACGATGCATGAGATTGAGCAGTTTTACGACACTCAAATAGAGAAGATGCCCTCAAACGCTGCTAGTGAATAATTTTCCGCGTTCTATAATGTCGCAGTCACTACTACTAGATTGATTAATTAATTAATTTAATTAATTAGGCTACTTAGTTCTACGGCAAACCTATTAGCCGTCTCCTACTAGTTTTACCTTTTATGTCCTTATCTATCCTTATTCTATTTTAGCTTCCCCTTACTCGACAGCTCTTATCTACTACGTAAACCTACTAGACTTATAAAGAAAATAGAGGACCGCCTTTACCGCTAAGAGGTTCGCTTTCTATTTTCCTTTAGCCTATCGACTAGTCGCCTAGTTCTTAGGTCTTCCTAGGGATTCTAGCCCCTAAGTATATAAGAAAGGTCTATCTACCTATACCCTACTACCTCGATAGTAATTTAACGATCTTCGCGTAGAAGGGGGCATTTGTATATAATGTACTTAACACTTTCTCGCGTAGCTCCGTATTCGTACCTTACTAAGTCTACTAGTTTTATCCGGCATAGGTCACTCTTTAGTTAGGAGTGCCCTATCTAGTATTAGGCAAGTATTAACGCCTCCTCTGTAAATAATGCATTATATACTATTGCTATATAAAAGCCTAGAAGGGCTCCGTCTAGCTTCTACGTATATAATCTAGTATATAGCATGTCTTAAGGCCTTATATTCCTAGCCTACTACTAGAAGATAACCGGTTCGAGTCGAGACGCTTAAAACCCTATATAAAATTAGGGTTTAGGGTTCTATCTTTAACTTAAGATATTTACTTTCTAAGAGTCGAGACTTTTGCTTTAATAAGCTTAGAATTAGCTAAAATTAAGATATTTTACTCTCTAAATATCGATATACTTACTTAGAAAGATTAGTCTATCTATAAGTAAGAATAGTAAAGTTATCCTATAGTAACAATTATACGAAAGATATACCTTACGATAGATCTAGGAGCTTCCCTATACTTAACCTATATAGCTAGCTATACGACGTATTAACAAATATTTATGATATAAAGCGTATCTATAGTTTATTAATTAGTAGCATACCTATCTATTAATAATAGTAATAACGATAT